GCTTTTATACCCTTCTCCCACTTCAAGAAGTAGTTTTTTGGTGTGCTTCTCAAAATAAAACAGACTAGGTTCACTCTGTGTATTAAAAAATAAAAAAATCGCTCCCTCCAAATTCTTCCAGACGTATATTCGAGACTTTATATTGACTTTATTTTGGCACGAGGGTTTTATAGCTTCGTTATATAAACTGCAACACCGATTTCGCATTAGTAAGGTTCTTTGCAGAAAAATGCCCCATTGGGGATATAGTGGCATCCTTCCATTGTTTACTGTGTGTTTTACCGCTTTATTTTAAACATCTGCTAGAGAGTTTTTTTCTTTATTTTCTATGGCATTTTGATCACCTAGAGAGGATTTTTTTCATTTGTTTGTCATGAGCTTTTGATAAAATCAAACCGATACTTAAGATTATTAGGGTAGCGATTCAGGGCTACCAGTTTTTCTATGAACTTCTTAAGAAATTGAAATAAGGGAACAAACAAATTTGATTTCCGAGGAGTAGAAATACAGGTGTTGATTCCTGAGGTTTAAAATTTGCACCGGTTCCGGAATGTGATTTTTAAAGCTACGCTTGAGCAATAAAGCTAGGATCAACCCAAATTACTTCTGCGAATTTCTGTGAATGTCATATGTCCAAAATCAGTCCAGCTGCCATTTCAAAATTAAAACCACTTTTGACATTTCTACAAACATGTTAGAAACTCAGTCAATCTTTTCGGCCCAAGAAAGAAAATGGAGATCCTCATGAAACATTCCACATATATGTAGTCCTTGACCTACAAACGTTTGTTTAGTGACTGTTCGAGGTTACAACGGCACTGAAAAAAAATGACATGACTGTTTTCCCATTTAAGACTGTTGCAGCAACGTGATCAAAATTTCGATACTTGGAAACTGACTTGTACTTACGACGGCTGCAGGGTCCTGGGGTCACGTAATCACAGTTTGCAACCTTATTACAAGCAAAGCCAATGGGGAAGCTAGATTGACTTAACAACCGTGTTACTACCTTAACAACTGCGGTGATTCACTTAGCAGCGATGTCAAGAAAGGTCGCAAAGGGGGGCAAAATCCACTTAACAAATGTCTCACCTAGCAACATAAATTTTGGGGCTCAATTGTCGTTGCAAGTCGAGGTCCGCTGTGGTTAACTAGATGCTGTCCTGTAAAACATAAGCATTCTTCTTGACAGTAAGATGGAAAAGCCGACTGATGAAAGTTATGGGCTGTACACCGCTGAATATGATAAAGAAGGGACTAGACCAGGGGTGGGCAACCTTGGCTCTTTTATGACTCGTGGACTTCAACTCCCAGAATTCCTGAGCCAGCATGGCTCAGCTTGAAAACCTCCCTTTCCCCTCAGCATGGCTGGCTCAGGAATTCTGGGAGTTGAAGTCCACGAGTCATAAAGTGGCCTAGGCCTAGACCAGAGGTAGGCAATCTTGGCTCTTTTATGACACGTAGACTTCAACTCCCAGAATTCCTGAGCCAGCCATGCTGAGGGGACAGGAAGAGGTTTCCAAGCTGAGCCATGCTGGCTGAGGAATTCTGGGAGATGAAGTCCACGAGTCATGAAGAGGCCAAAGTTTCCCCCATGCTGGCTGAGGAATTCTGGGAGTTGAAGTTTACGAGTCATAAAAGAGCCAAGGTTGCCCACCCCTGGACTGGACAGCCAGCTCTTAAGAATGGTTTCATTGATTTCCTTGCACATTGCGAAATATTAAACCAGATTGCCTGTGTGGTATCTTCCGGTTCCACAATTCTATGATTCCGTGATTTCTGGAAATGGCTGTTTACCATCAACAGTCGTACACTTCTGCATTCGAAATATGGAATAATAAAGTTAGAAGGGATCGTGGAGGTCTTCTAGTCCAGAGGTCCCCAACCTTTGGGGCACCAAGGACCCGGTTACGTGGAGAGAGGTTTTTCCACGGACCGGAGTGTGCGTGGTTTTGTGTGCTAACTGCATCCCGTGGATGGGGCTTTTGCTTGTTTGTGCAGCCCGGTTGCTAGCATGCCGCGGCCCAGTACCGGTCCATAGACCGGGTGTTGGGGACCCCTATACTAGTCCAGCCCCCTGCTCAAGCAGGAGAGACCCTATACCATTTCAGATAAGTTTCTGCACCCACAATTGTCCTCACTGTTAGGAAATTTTTCCTTAGTTCTAGGTTGCTTCTCTCCTTGGTTAGTTCCCATTCATTGCTTCTTGTCTTGTCTTCTGGTACTTTGGAGAATGGCTTGACTCCCTCTTCTTTGGGGCAGCCCCTGAGATATTGGAAGGCTGCTATCCTGTTCCCCCCCCCCCTTGTCCTTCTCTTTATTAGACTAGACATACCCAATTCCAGCAACCGTTCCTTGTATGTTTTAGCCTCCAGTCCCCTGATCATCTTTGTTGCTCTTCTCTGTACTATCATGTCAGCATGCATGGGGAAGAATGACATGAGTTGGATATCCACAGCTTTGGATTGTACGGCCAGGAAAGGAGAGAGGCTTAGAACATGCAGTTGCCATCCCTTTCAACCTACTTCCAAACTCCGTGACACATTGGAGAATTATGCAACTTGGAGCACAGCTTGACCTGACCCACGGTTGTTTCTTTTTCGTGTTTCTGTTGGGTTAGAAAACATAAGAAAGAACGCCCGTTGGCTGTGTGTGAGTTGGATCTCAGTGATCTTACCTCACGTGGTGGAGAAGATTTGGAAAGTTGTGGAGACCTTAGTGGGTTAGAAAACATAACAAAAAGTACCCTTTTCCTGTGTGAGTTGGACTCTTACAATCTTATCTCATAAGGGTGAGAGGATTTTGGAAGCTGGGGGGTCCTTGGGGCTGTCTGAGCTTGGTGGTTTTCTTGCAGATGTTTCTTGCAAGGACTCTCTTCTCTTCCGTTGGCTTTTGGGAAGTTGAAATGCAATATATCTACCATTTCTATTCTTGTTGTCCCTTATTCCTGGATTGGAAAGCATCAAGTGAAAATTTAGAGGGTAGGTGGGTGACGTCAGTTGTCTCATAACTATCTTTACTCAAGGGCACAAGAAGACCTTGATTAAAATGTGTTAGTAGATTTACTCAGGATATATTCCTGATTGGGTAGCTATCATATTTTTTCCTCTGGTCACGAGTGATGCTCAGCGTTTGGATTGCCTCTTTGTGGGGGCTCACCTGGAAGTTTTGTTCTGCCTTTTTTTTTCGCACTACTTAATAACGAATGCTTTTGCCCTGTTTCATCAGGAGCCGAGCGTCGTGAGCGATGATCCTTGGAAAAGGAATTTCTGCTTACTTCTTGAAATAAATATTGAAATTAGATGAAAGAGAAAGACGAGAGCACGGTGATAGCAAACAATGACGGTGCATTTTTACTCAGATGTTTCTCCGCAACATACAGATTATGATGCTGGAATAATCTGATACTGCAATGACCCAAATCTGATACAGGTAGTCCTCGATTTAACAGAAGTTCATTTAGTGACTGTTTGAAGTTACAATGGCACTGAAGGAAGTGACCTGACCGTTTTTCACACGGCCTCCCCGTGGTCACATGATCAAAATTCAGACGCTTGGCAACTGACATGTACTTATGACGGTTGCAGTGTCCTGGGGTCAGGTGATCCCCTTTTGCGACCTTCTGACAAGCAGAATCGTCAATAATAATAATAATAATAATATGATGATGATGATGAAATTAAACTGCTCTGGGACTTCAGAATTCAAACAGACAAGCACCTGCAACATAACACCCCAGACTTAACAATTGTCGATAAGAAAGACAAAAAAGTCTGGATAGTGGCCGTGGCAGTGCCTGGAGACAGCAGAATAGAAGAGAAAGAACTGGAGAAGATAACAAAATACAAAGACCTACAAATAGAAATAGAAAGACTGTGGCAAAGGCAAGCAAGGGTAGTACCAATAGTAATAGGCTCCTTAGGTGCAATCCCAAAACAACTGGAGCACCACTTGAACACCATTGGCATTGACAAATTCGCTATTAATCAATTGCAAAAGGCGGCCTTACTAGGAACTGCTTCCCTCCTGCGACGATATCTGTAATACCATCAAACATCCACATCTGCCTATCCCAGGTCCTTGGTAAGGACTCGATAGGTAGACAAAATGCCAAATCCAGTCTGAACATCTGGCTGACTGTGCGATGATCTATAATTGTGGTCATAAGTCAAGGACCACCTGTCCTTCATTCCTAGTTTATATTTTTTAAAAAAGTAAAGCATTAATGTAGAAACGGTTGGGTGCTCCTCTGCTGGTCGGGAGCACCACAGTTGCAATTTTATGCAAGCAGTCCTCAACTTAAGACCACAATTCAGCCCCAAATTTTTATGATAAAGTGAAACATTTGTTAAAGGTTTTTTTTTTGGCCCCGTCTGATGATCTTTCTTCCCCCCGTTGTTAAGTGAATCGCTGCAGGTGTTAAGTTAATGACAATGTTATTAAGGGAATTTCGTTTTCCCATTGACTTTGCTTGTCCGGAGGTCACCGTCATAAATGCGAGTCAGTTGCCAAGCGTCGGAATTTTGATCACGTGACCCCGGGGATGCTGCATCGGTTGTGTGAAAATCCGTCACAAGTCACTTTTTTCAGTGCCGTTGTAACTTGAACAGTCACTAAATGAACTGTTGTAAGTTGAGGACTGCCTGTACATACCTACTTATCATAAATTCAGAAGGACGTACTTCTAAATCAGGGGTCTTCAAACTTGGCCCTTTTATGACTTTGTGGACTTCAACTCCCAGAATTCCTCAGCCAGGCACGGGTGCCTGGCTGAGGAATTTTGGGAGTTGAAGTCCGCAAGTCATAAAAGGGCCAAGTTTGAAGACCCCTGTTCAAAATAAAGCATGCACAGACATTTATTGCAATCATCTCTCTTTTTTTGGTGCATTTTTTTTAAAAAAAAACATACAATATTTTAGCTTTTTGAAAAGGTATCTTTTTTTTTTTGGTAAGGACGACTTCTAATGTTTGTATATATGTATTTCTTAACTTTCCTACAGATATGCACTTATTTGGCCATTATCCAGCTCATGATGATTTCTATCTAATAGTGTGCAATACCTGCAATCAGGTTATCAAGCCACAGGTTTTCCAGTCCCACTGCGGTAAGTGACACATTTTGTTCCTGGATTATGGCTCGGTTGACGTCCGTTTCATTTGCGTCCCTCGGTCAGAATTCTGAATAGAGCAGGGGAGGAGAATACCTGGAATTGCTTGTGACTATTTCGGGGGTGTGGCAGAAGATGACCCTCTGTGTATTTGAAACTAGCCCAAGAAACTTTGCTGCTGGAGGTAGAGAATTTACATTCTCATGATCCTTGTTCGTTCATCACTCCAGCGGGGAGAGGAATCTGTTAAGACTGGTACGGAAACCCAAGGAATAGGAATAGAATAGAATAGAATAGAATAGAATAGAATAGAATAGAATAGAATAGAATAGAATAGAATAGAATAGAAAATATGGAGTGGAATGGAATGGAATAGAATAGAATAGAATAGAATAGAATAGAATAGAATAGAATAGAATAGAATAGAATAGAATAGAATAGAATGGAAATAGAATAGAATAGAATAGAATAGAATAGAATAGAATAGAATAGAATAGAATAGAATAGAATAGAATAGAATAGAAAATATGGAGTGGAATAGAATAGAATAGAATAGAATAGAATAGAAAATATGGAGTGGAATAGAATAGAATAGAATAGAATAGAATAGAATAGAATAGAATAGAATAGAATAGGAGAATGGAAATAGAATAGAATAGAATAGAATAGAATAGAATAGAATAGAATAGAATAGAATAGAATAGAATAGAATAGAATAGAAAATATGGAGTGGAATGGAATAGAATAGAATAGAATAGAATAGAATAGAATAGAATAGAATAGAATAGAAAATATGGAGTGGAATGGAATAGAATAGAATAGAATAGAAAATATGGAGTGGAATGGAATAGAATAGAATAGAACAGAATAGAACAGAATAGAATACAAAATGTGGAGTGGAATGGAGAGTGTAGTAGAGAATAGAATAGAATAGAATAGAATAGAATAGAATAGAATAGAATAGAATAGAATAGAATAGAATAATCTTTATTGTCATTGTGTAACTCACAGCGAAATTAAATGCTGTCCACAGTGCACACTACATACGTCAAAACCACAAATAAGAACATACATTATATACACGCATCCTTCACATTCTAGTCAACATTGCGTTGCCCCTAATATCGCACTTCAATGTTGCACTATACAGTGGTATTTAATATGGTTACAGCTCTGGGATAAAAACTATTTTTCAGCCTGTTTGTCTTTGTTGTTATTCTCCTGTACCGTCTGCCAGATGGTAATAGTTCAAAAAAAAAAAACGTCCAGGATGAGATGAGTCTTTAAGAATATTTTGAGCTTTCCTAGGATAACTGGAACTGTACAGTTCGTCCCTGGGGGGAGGGGGGAGGAGATGGCATCTAATAGTCCTCTGGGCCAGGGATCCCCACCCTGTGGTCCACGGCCCACTACCGGGCCGTGGCCTGCTGGTCACCAGGCCGCGGACCAGGCTGGCCAGTGTGCACACGTGTGCACGCGCACTTGCCCCCACTCGTGGCAGCCGTTCGTTCAGCGACCGTTACAACAGCACTGGAACGAGTGACTTACGACTGGTTTTCACACTGCCGTTGCAGCATCCACGCAGGTCACATGATCAAAATTGAGATACCGTATATTCCGGCGTACAAGACGACTTTTGAGAGCGTTGAAACAGGCGCCGAACTCGGGGGTTGTCTTATACGCCGAGTCGTCTTATACACCAGAAATAATGGTAGTTTCTGGAGTTTAAGACGACTTTCTAGGCATGCGATTTGGTGTCGATCGTCTTATACACCGGAAATAACGTAGTTTCCAGCGTGTAAGACGACTTTCTAGGCATGCAACTCGGCGTTGATCGTCTTATACGCCGGAAATACCGGTAGTTTCCGGCATATAAGACGACTTTCTAGGCATGCGACTCGGCGTCGAAGTCGGGGGTCATCTTATACGCTGGGTCTCCCTATACGCTGGAATATACGGTAGTCAACAGCTAGCATTTAGGAAATTTGAAAGGAAGCTGGGATCAAAAACAGATTGCGGAGTGAGGCGACGATCACAGAAAAGATCTCTGGGAACAAAGGGCAATGCATGTCGTCCTTGACTTAATGAGGCCGTTGTTAAGTGAGTTTACGACCTTTTTCGCCATAGTTGTTAAGGGAATCACTGCACTCACTCAGTGACTCATTTGGTCGTTAAACAAATCTGGCTTTCCCCCCTTGACATGGCTTGGCAGAAGCCGGCTGGAAAAGGATGCAAATGGTGATCACGTGACTTCGTGACGCTGTATATGCCAGTTGCCAAGCGTCTTGAGTTTTGGTCACATGAGCCTGGAGATGCGGCAAAGGTACAGGTAATCCTCGGCTTACAACCGTTCACGTAGTGTCTGTTCGAAGTTACAACGGTCCTGCAAAAAGTGACTTAAACGACCGTTTTTCACCCTTACGACCATCCCCCACGATCACGTGATCCAGATTCAGACACTGGGCAACTGCTTCATATCTATGATGGTTGCAGTGCCCCGGGGTCACGCGATCACCTCCTGCAACTGAAGTCGGTGGGGGAAGCCAGATTCACTTAACAACCCGTGTTACTAACTTAACGACTGCAGCGATCTGCTTAACAATGGTGGCAAGGTAAGTCGTAAAAGGGGGCAAAACCTTATGTAGCGGCGTCTTGCTTGGCAAGGGAAATTTTGGGCTCGGTTGCGCCAGTAAGTCGAGGACTTCCTATACTTCCGCTGTGGAAGGAAAGAGAGTGAAGGTTGCCTTTATTATTATTATTATTATTATTATTATTATTAGCGATGATCGCACAGTCAGCCAGATGTTCAGACTGGATTTGGCATTTTGTCTACCTATCGAGTCCTTACCCAGGACCTGGGATAGGCAGATGTGGATGTTTGATATCGTCGCAGGATGGAAGCAGTTCCTAATAAGGCCGCCTTTTGCAATTATTATTATTATTATCGATCATCGCACAGTCAGCCAGATGTTCAGACTGGATTTGGCATTTTGTCTACTTATCGAGTCCTTACCCAGGACCTGGGATAGGCAGATGTGGATGTTTGATGGTATTACAGATATCGTCGCAGGATGGAAGCAGTTCCTACTAAGGCTGCCTTTTGCAATTGACTAATAGCGAATTTGTCAATGCCAATGGTGTTCAAGTGGTGCTCCAGTTGTTTTGGGATTGCACCCAAGGAGCCTATTACTATTGGTACTACCCTTGCTTGCTTTTGCCACAGTCTTTCTATTTCTATTTGTAGGTCTTTGTATTTGTTATCTTCTCCAGTTCTTTCTCGTCTATTCTGCTGTCTCCAGGCACTGCCACGTCCAATATCCAGACTTTTTTGTCTTTCTTATCGACAATTGTTAAGTCTGGGGTGTTATGTTGCAGGTGCTTGTCTGTTTGAATTCTGAAGTCCCAGAGCAGTTTAATTTTATCATTTTCTATGACTTTCTCTATTTGATGATCCCACCAGTTTTTGCTTACAGGCAAATGATATTTTTGCAGATCTTCCAATGCACCATTGTTGCTACTTTGTCATGCCGCTGCTTGTAATCAGTCTGTGCAATCTTCTTGCAACAGCTTACCAAGTGGTCCACTGTTTCTTCAGCTTCTTTGCATAGGCGGCACTTACTGTCTGTTGCTGTCTTCTCAATTTTGACTTGTATGCATTTGTCCTTAAGGCTTGGTCTTGTGCAGCCAGAATTAGTCCCTCGGTCTCTTTCTTCAATTTTCCTGCTCTTAGCCATTGCCAGGTTTTATTGTTATATGCTTTCCCAGCTATTTTTTTCATGTATTGGCCATGTAGTGCTTTGTCTTCCCATGCCTCTATTCTGTTCTTCATTTGGTCTTTCCTGTAGGCCAGTTTGGTCTCTCCAGTAGTTAGTAAGCCTTCCTGATATACTAATTTCAGTGCATCTTCATCATTGTTCTTCAGATATTCTTCCAAAGCCATTTTTTCTTCGTCAACCATCTGATGTACTTGTAGCATTCCACGCCCACCTATTTGCCTTGGTAGATAAAATCTTATTATTATTATTATTATTATTATTATTATTATTATTATTATTGACTCTGCTTGTCAGAAAAGGTTACCTGGGTCCTTAAAGGATTTCCTTTTTCTGGCTCCAAACTGTACATCGCCACCTGCTAAATAAATTTAAAAAAAAAGCTATTTTCTGCTTCCCAGCAGCCTTCGGAGCCAGAACGAAACTTTACCTGGTTTGGTGCCATCTTTGAGATCAGAGTTATCGTGGCTTATGATCCGTGGAGCCCAACATAACTCTGATGAGCCAGTAAGACAAACCAACATTCGTCAGACCTTGCTGCCGCTAATTAACCTAGGAACAATTTCCTGTGGCTGCAACCACACTCAAAATAATCAGTGTTGATTCCTTCGGTCCGGGATGCCCATTCCTCACGTTGCTGTCTTTAGTGGCCCGGATTAATTTCTCGTAATGTCGACGCCACATTGAACGGGACACGTCTGTCTGTCTGTCTGTCAGAACTGGCCTCAAATGCAGACCATAATGGGACTGCTGATTTACAAAGAGATGTTTTCAGCGAGTTCCCCCAAACAACAGGTCTAAAGTTTGGGAGGCATGCTCAGATATCTTCATACCTTTGACCTTGGCATGTACAGACACTTTCCAGGACTGTGGGAATTGGCTGTTTCCATGTCCTCACAATCATCCCCCTTTTAGTTCTGCGGATTTTATTCGAAGCCATGTTATAGGACAGTGGTTCTCAACCTTTTTAATGCCGCGACCCCCCAACCAATCGTAAGTCGAGGACTACTCAACCGGTTGTAAGACGAGGACTACTCAACTGGTGCAGCACTGTTGGCAGAATGGGACTTTTGGCGGGCTCAGCAGGGCAGAGACAGCCTGGACAATTCCTATTGGCTTTTGAAAGCCAATAGAATGAGACTCTATTCAAGAGTCTATTCTATTGGCTTTCAAAAGCCAACAGAATAAAAGGGAGGAGCACAGCTAAGGAAAAGGGGGGGAAAA